TCGCCCCTCCTCTCTCCCTCTCTCCTCCTCCAGCTCCGAGAATATCCCTCTGCAACTGCCGTACGCGTGCGCGTGCCCTCGTCACGGGCCCAGTCCCCATCTCGGTGATCTGAATCTCGATCCCGCACGCGACCTGGATCTGGGTCTGGATTCGGATCCCAAGCCGGGCCATCGTGCTGGCTCCTCCGAGAACGGTCGCTCTCCCGCCTGCCAGCCCCGTGCCCTCCTCCCCCATCTCCTCCCCCACCTCCTCCCCCATCTACATCTCTGTTGTCATACCCTCCCCGTACAACCCGCTCCCCATCCTGCACCTCCCTCGCCCCCTCGGCGTCCCTCCTCGCGACAGGTCCATGTCCTCCCCACTGCCGGTCGCGTTCACAATACCCCCCGTCATTATGACGGTGATCATCATTATCATCATCACCAGCCAGCCGGCCCCAGGCGCCGCCTCCACACTTCCCCCTCCGCTCCTCGCCTCTCCCGCCTCGCCCGCAGCGCCCGCAGCGCCCGCTGCCGATATTCCTCCGTTCGCCCCGCACATCACCAGCTCGCTCCAGCTCCACCGCCGCTCCCCACCCCCGCTGAAGCTCCTGACAGTCGCAGTGGTGGTCATGACCATGGTGGTTGTGGTGGCTGTGGTGGTTGTGATGGTGGTTGTGGTTGTGGTGGTGACCAGTACAGGGGGAGAGACATTCCGCCCGCTCCTCCTCCTCCTCTTTCTCCTCCTCCCGACGCCGCCGCTTGGCGAAACGCTGAAGTTGAGGAAGGGTTTGAGGAGGCGGAGGCGGAGGCCGGGGGAGAGAAATTCCCCGGACCCCCTCCCCCTCCTCCTTCCTCTCGGATGGCCCTCGTGCTTGCCGCCAACCCTGTCGCTGCTCGTCCAGGTCCCTCCGTGGTTGCCGTACAGCACCGAGATCACCCAGCGTGCGCCGTTCCGCTGCTAACGCCGCCCTCACTGCCGCCGCTAACCCCCCGCGCGACCACCCACCCACTCCTCCACCACCACCACCACCGCCACCACTACTTCCACCGCCGCCGCCGTGGTAGCGGGAGGGGACCCCTGCAGCCGCCACCGTCACTGCCGCCGACCTTCCCGCCGCAGCTGGTCCCGTGCACTGCTGTCCGCTGTGCCTGCACGGGTTCCACACCTTGTGGAGCTCCTCACACGGGCAACCCCGTGACGGACCGGCTGAGGGCCCCGCAGCTGCCGGGGAAGGGGCCGCCGCAGTAGCGGCTGTAGCGGTAGCGGCTGTAGCGGTAGCGGTGGTAGCGGTGGCAGTGGCAGTGGCAGGGGGGTCGACGGCGTCGGGCATCGCTGCGGCGAATATCTCTGACAGCATCTCGCAGACAGTGCTGGCGGCGTCGCTCCAGGAGGCGGCCGCCAGCTGCAACAAGGCCGGGTCTGTGGAGGAGCATCGTAGGGACCGGTAGGGCGGGGGTGGGGGCGGGGGTGACCAACCGACACGGCACCATCAGGGCGCCCGGTCTACTGGTCTACTGGTCTACTGGTCTACAGATGCTACGAGTAGGTTATGGCCTGATTAGGCTCTCGGTGAAACACGTGAAAGAGCAGCTGAGAGGACAGAACGGGTGGAACGTTTGCCACGTTTTCTGGTGCACCAAAAAGGGGGAGCGGGATGCCACACAGGGTAGAGCAGAGCGGGGCATGTAACACAGCAGAGTTAGGAAGAACGACAAACTGGTCTAGGCGAGAGTGGAGTTCGAGACGGGTGGGTAGGGTAGGGGGGAGGGGAGGGGAGAGCAGGGCACCGCACGCGCGCACATACACACACGCACACGCACCTGCCGCAAGCAGCCGCTCCGCCGCCGCAGCCCCAGCCAGGGACGCGCACACCGCCCGAGCCCACCACGACACCCCCACGGCCCTCCCCAGTCCCTCCGCGGGCCCGCCACCAACATCGCCGTCTTTCCCCGCCTCCTCGGCACCTTTACGCGGTCGCTCTCCATCCGCCGCCGCCGCCGCAGCCTCATCAGGGCCGGGGGAAGCGGTTGCGGCAGCGGCGGCGAAGGTTGCGACTCGAGCGCAACGCCTGGCGGCACTCGCCAGCAATGCGAACGCGTCCAGGCCGGCGGCGTGCTGCTGCGGCCGGAACATGGAGGCTGGGCCGCTAGCCCCACCATCATCACCGCCACCATCATCACCGCCGCCTGAAGGCCCCCCTGCAGCAAAACCCGGGCCAGGGCCAGGGCCCGGGACCACCTCCCCAATAGACAGCTGCAGGTCTGCAGCTGTGGGTGTGGCATTGACTGTAGTAGTGGTTGCGGCCCTTCCCCCCCACTTTCCCCCCAGGGTTCCCCGGGACACTGGTGCTGGTGCTGGTGCTGGTGCACATTTCGCCTCTTCCAGGAGCTCGTCCAAGCCACGTATGAGCGCAGAAAACGCCCGCTCCGCCGTCGAGCTGCCGCCGCCGCCTTGCCGCTGGTGGTGGTGGTGGTGCTGCGGAGGAGGCGGCGGACGAGGCGGCGGCGGCGGCTGCCACAAAAGCATGTCGCCACAGTCTCGTACTAGCAGCTGCAGCCGCTGCTCCAGGCTCAACTCAGCTACTGCTGCTGGTGCGGCTGCTGCAGACCAGGCGGCTGAAGCTGCTGCGGTGGCGGCCCCGTCGCTGACGGATGCCGGCGCCGCGGGCTGACGGGACGCCCCCAACAGCTCATCCGCCGTCGCAGCGGCCACCGATTTTAGTACGGAAGGATCAGCCGCCCAGCCGCCGCCGTCACGCCCAGCGGATGCCGAGCAGCCGCAGCACCGTTCGCAACAGCAGTCGAAGCCGTACTGGTCGCGGAGCTGCGCACGGCGGCGGCTGCGCGGCAACGCAAGGTCCACGTACGACACGGTGATCTCGGCGCCGTCGTCCAGGTCCGCCAGCAGCCGTACTCGGATCTGGGCCCCCGGACGGAAGTGGTAGGCGGCGGTTGGCCGGCACGAGTGGTTGATGCGACAGGCGCTCCTAGAGGGGGCGCACCCCGGTGTGGGCGGGAGGTCAGGGGGGGGGGGGGGTTGCGATAACAGCATCAACGGCAACAACAAGAAACTACAACAGCATCAACGGCAACAACAGCAGCTGCAACAGCATCATCAACAGCAGCAGCAGCAACAGCATCATCAACAGCAGCAGCAGCAGCAGCTTCAAAAAATGAGGATGAGGAAGAGGATAAAACGGGTCATTCTGCAGCATCCTGCAGCATATCGAGGTCAGCTCACTGAAGCCACGGCAGATTATGCCGTACACTCACACCCCTGCACAACACGCCCTCAAAATGGCTCCTTAACACTGGATGTGAGCTGCCAATTCCAACTGTGAAGTGCCCCGCCAAGAAGAAAGAACCACGGAAAAGACGCTTCAGGGACCCGAGGCCGCAAACGGTTCACCTGTACAACGCCAGGGGAACACTCAACGGGCCCGCCGCCGCCGCCGCCGCCGCCGTCGTCCTGCCCGCGCCAATGAGGCCGACGGCGAAGGGCGGATGCAACGTCACCTCCAGCGCGTTGCTCAGCACCGTCGCCACCGCCGCCGCCGCCACGCCCACCGCCGCCGCAGCAGCAGCTGTGACCGACCGCCTCCCCACATGACGCCTCTCACCCTCCTCCTCCTCCCCCTCCTCCCCTTCCTGGTCCCAACCCCGACCCCGCTGCCCTTGTCCACATGATCCCCCCCGTGCTGCTTCGCTGTCGTTATGAACTGGAGACCTGCTAGGTCCGCCGCCGCCGTGCGCTGGCTGCATTGACTTAACGGCACGACATTCGTACGGCGGCCAGGTTTCAAAAATGGATTGGAGCTGAAGAATGGCCCGTAGCGCGTCGTCTGCCTTGTTGCTGCCGTTACCGCGGCGGCGGCGGCAGTAGCGTTGATCGCGGTGCGGCGGCACGCCGCCGTCATCAGAGGAGGACGACGATTCGTACGACGACTCTGAGGAAGTGGACGAGCTGGGCGGAGGCCCCGCCACCCCGGCGGCGGCGGGACGGGTTTTATTGCTGGCGGCGGGAAATCCACCTCCGCCACAACTAACGGGGACTACGGCAACAGCAGCCGCAGTAGCAGTGGCAGTAGCTCCTTCTAATTGATGCTGCTGCTGCTGCTGATGATGATGATGATGTTGGCAGTCCTGTCGTCGCCGCTCGCGCCGCTCTTTGCGTTGGGCCCGGCGCTGTACGGCACGCTGGTGGGCCGCTGCCGCCGCCCGCCCCTGCAACACCAGTACGCTATTAATTGCTGTTGATGTTGTTTTTGTTTCTTGTTGTTGTTGCTAGGGCACCCCCATCCGGGGGATGAAAAGAAACGCACACATTCCCGCCACACGCGTGTCCGTGTGCATGTCTATGTGTATTGGGATTCATTCCCGCCCATCCCCCCACAGCCCCCCCGGGGAGAAGCCCACAACACGGCCAGGAGAGTTGGGAGTTGAGACATATCGATGACATGATGGAGTAGGGGGGTTTGGGGGGAAAGACGAACCACGAACGAGTGAAGCTGCTGCCAAGGAAAGAGTGTGCAAGTAAGCAGAACTGGTTTGGGGGGGGTCGGGGGGATCAGGGGTTGGCTGCAAGCGGGTTGGTACGAACGGGGGTGAGGGGGGATGTAGGCAGTAGGCTGGCCGGCCGGCCGCCACACGCAATAACGCCCACGTCACGAGTCACAGCAAGTCCCAACGGCCTCCAACCTTTGCATTTCTTCCCACCTCATCCGGAACATATCCGTTCCGTACACTAGCAGCCGTACACCAAACCACCGCCGCCGCTGCTGCGCGCCTCGACCTACCCCCTCCCGGCCGTTCCAGGACCCATCCCACCCGTCAAAGCGGGGCCCATCCCACCCATCCTACCGCCGCCGCCGCCCTCGCCAGCAGCGCTGCCAGGAGGCCCCAACCTGGTCCTAGGCCCGCCGCCTCCGCCACCGCCTCCGCCTCCGCCACTGCCGCCTCCGCCACCTCCCCATCCAGGCCCCCAGACACCCCCTCCCCACTCAACCCCCTTTCCAGCGACCCGGACCCCGGCTGCAGTACGGCACTCGCCACCGCGGCCGCCTGCCAGCTCGCTAGTTCCCGCTCCACCTGGGAGCCGGCAGCCAGGTGGGCCTCATGGCACGACAGGGGCTGGTGCTGATGCTGGGGCTGACGAATTGGGTTCGAGGAGTACGGGGCGGGGGCGGGGGCGGGGGCGGAGGGAGAGCAGCAGGGCGGGGCTGCAGGGGACACTGCTGTCGTAGCGGCGGTTGCCGTGGCGGTTGTAATAGCGGTTGTAGTGGCGGTTGCGACGGCGGTTGTGGATGCGGATACCGGGGGGAACAGGAGGAGGTGTCGCAACGCCAGGATGGCCTCGCGCTGAAGACCCAATGGAGCAGCCAGGCTGTGTGTTTGTGCGTGTTTTTTTGTTAAGGGAGGAGGAGGGGAAGGGGGGAAAGACGAACCACAAACGACGGGAAGGGGGGAAGGGGGAAGGAGGCATTTAAAAGGGGAGAGCGGGGGGAGCAAGTCGAGGGGAGAGGGGTTCCCCGGAACCGCTCCTCCCTGTGTCGTACGGCTGGCCCTCCGGCTCCCGCTCGATAGGAACATTTCCTCGAAAAAACACACCCCTCTTTACCCCCCCACCTCCAGGACCCTCCAGGACCCTGACGACGCAAAACTTGAAAACTAAAAAAAAACAAATTCTCGAATACCAGGAGGCTTCCCTGGGAAACCCAAGAAAACCCTAAAGCCTTTCCCCCCTGCTCCTGACGGGGTTTCCCCCCTCTCCCCCTGCCCGCACCTCAGCCCCGCCGCGTGTTCGTACAACCAGCATTCCCCGCTGTCTCGGTGGGCCCTTCGATCCAGAGTGGCGCACTTGTAGCTGCAGTAGAAGGCGGAGCTGCAGCTGCGAGGGATCATTTTTGTGAAAAAACAGATCCAGATCCAGATTCAGGCATTGATTTTAAAAAAAGAGGCACACAGGCGAACGGGGTTGCGTAGCAGGCTTTAACTCTTGCGGACAAAAGTCGGTACGGCAGTGTACGACACATGCGAAAGCGAGAGCGACACAGGAAGAAATACTGTAGTTCCCACCACAGCAAGTAATGATGTCCGTGTGAAAGGAGGTTGTGATGAGGATGACACATATGGGAAGGGGTGATTGTGATGTTAGCAGTGTTTTGAGGTGCCAACTGCGGGTGGAGGACGTGGAAGGTGGAAAGGTGGGTGAAGGAAGTGGGGTCAAGTTGGCGCTTACCGTCGACAGGATTGGAGACCCTTTGTCGCGGTGTTGATGCTCCCGAAGCATGTGCGGCAAGTCACAGCATAGGCTTGTGGGAAAAGAGAGGTCGCGTATGGCCTCTCCTGCAGGTTCACACAAGGAGTGGATTTTTCGGAGGGAAGGGAAGGGAGCTGAGGGGGTGTCACCGCTAACCACCGGGGCTGACCAGCCGCCATCCGCACCTGGATGGCCACCGTGCCGGTCTGGAGTGGACCGCTCGCAACAAAACCAAGTCCTTTGCTTCCCATATCCCTGCAGAACACGCCAACAATGCATTTGGCTCGAGGCCACAGACACGATTCTTCTCGATTTACGGCACTCCGCACCTCAGCTCCACCCCGGTCAACAAACATTCTCTTTTCGCCATGATATTCAGGAGTTTAGCAATTTGATGGAAAGCTCATAGCTCTGGTCCGTTTGGCAACCTGGCAAACCGCGTAAGCAGTTCGTTACACGTGGACGATCTTACTCATTGTAATGTAAAATTACATACATCCCACATGCATGGCTTTTTATTAGGGTAAATAGATGCTTTGAATGCGAGCAGCGATCGTTATAAAGGCGGTTAGAAAGGCCCCGTACCGGAACTGTCCCTCGACAAAGCGACCAGCACGCTTCTGGTCGGCAAGCGCAATGGCCGATGCCGCGGCACAGGAGCCGGAGGTGCGGTCCTTGTAAAATTGCATCAATTATAGGTGCCTGGAAATCGGAACTTTCAGCTTCCATGGCGTCAATTGTCGCTTCCCGTGTTACATGCAACCCAGGTCCTCGTGGACGTTAGGGGCTGCGTGGCGTTTGTAACGCTAAACAGGTGGGTCTCGCAAGCAAAATGGGTTTCGACGTAGAGGCGCCTGGCCTCACCACGTTTGGACGCTCAAGCTTTCCCCTTGGCTTCCACAAACCCCTCTCCACTCTCCCCACCCTTCGGGTTCACCGCCACGCAACACCTCCTCCAACTTTGCTGCCCGCTCACAGGCCGCGCGCGCTCAACTCCCTCAACCTGGGCATGGTGAGTGCTTGGCTGGTCGGTAAGTGCACCTAGGTTCCTCCCTCGCACCAACACGCTCATCACAACACAACACAACACACACCGCCGTGTGCCCTTCAGTTCTCAGTCCGGTCTACCGGGTCAACCCGGGCTCGGTCCGATCCCTTCTCTCCCCACCCCTCCCCCCTTAAGTCCAATCTCTGCGTCTTCTGCGCTTTTGTCTGAGTCCTCCTTACCCCTCACAACCTCCCCCACCGCCACCAACATCGCCGCCACATGTGCGGCGTTGGGCGTCTACGGCAGAGGTGCCGTACTTGCATCCGTTGCTGTGTGGCCGCCTTAACCCCCCCCCGCAGACGGTCCCGCCCACAACCTGAATCATCCCCAACCTCACTCTAAATGCCGTTGCCCTAAGAGTGGGTTCTTTGGTCAAATTTGGCCTTTTGTTGGGGTAACCTTGCAAGAGAAGTGGGCTGTAAGCTTGAATGTCGAGCTATTGTTTGAGGGCTGTCTGAGCAAGATAAGCTAGCTTTTTTCTACCAGGGTTTCCCGCGCTTTCCTTCCCCTCTCGCTCTCCTTCCCTTCTCCTCTCCCCTCCCCCTCTCCCATCTGCCGCAGCACTCTTTCCGTGGCAGCAGCTTCACTCGTTCGTGGTTCGTCTTTTCCCCTTTTCCCCTCTCCCCGCTCCCCGGCCCCCGCCCGGACAGGTCCGCCGGCTCCTGTCCCTCAACCAGGAGTTCAGCCGGCGGGGTGAGTCGCCGGTGGCGGCTGTGGTAGTGCGAGGCGCAGGCGGCAAGGTGGGAGTGCGGAGTGCGAACCGGACAGCGGGTTGAAGGGCCCACCCGCGGCCTCGCTGCCTCCAAAGCCGTACAAAGCACATCCTGCACCACCACCGGGTAGTCCGCTTCACATCTTCCTACCCTAAACTGTACGACTGACGCGTCGTAAGTGTGTTTTTGCTCTCCCTTGGCACTCCCACCAAACCAGGCTTTTTGCGCGGGTGGTGATGTGAAGGAGGTGGTCTTGCGGGCACGAGCCGGCGACTGGTCGTACGGTACCGCCTTCTTTCGTACCGAGTACGTCAACAATGCCGCCATCGCGCAGCTGCCAGTGCCGTACATTGCCGTAATCGACGGGATCACCATGGGTGGCGGCGTGGGGGTGTCGTACCACGGCCACTTCCGTGTCGCAACCGAGCGGTGAGGAAAGGGGGCGAATGGCGGGGGAAAGAGGGGAGAGACACCAAGGCAAGCATCTTGAAAAGTGGGGGTGGGGGGTGAGTTAGTTGTCAGTTAGTTAGGTAGTCCTTCTTCTGGGTCCTCCAGCGCTGATACCCTACTTTGGCCACTTGCATGTCACCAGCTGTTTATCACCAGCTTATATCAGCCAGCTTTGCTCCAATTTCGTCAAAGCCGCCGGCGGCAAAAAATTCTTTTCCAGCTCACGTCAGCAGTTCTCCACTACTTTTTCGCCGCCTCTACACACCTGCCTGTACCTCTTAACGGCTTCGCTGTACTGCTTTTCTTCCGCTCTTGCTTTAGTCTTGGAACGGCTAGGTAGGTAAGTAGGTACGTTTCCGCGGTCGTCCTCATCCCGAGGTCGGCTCCTTCAAAACCGCCTACTGGTCAGTTCTGCTTCTTGTACGCTCTTTCCTTGGCAGCAGCTTCACTCGTTCACATGGTTCGTCTTTCCCCCCTCTCCCACCCCTCCCGCCGGAGGCCCCCTCTACAGGACGGTCCTCGCCATGCCCGAGTCCGGTATCGGGCTGTTCCCGGACGTGGGCGCGTCGTTCTTCCTGCATCGCCTGCCGGGCCACCTGGGCAGATACATGGGGCTGACAGGGCAGCGGCTCATGGGTGAGGAAAAGGGGGGGGCAGGCGGGCCGCGTAGAGGTGTGTGGGTGTGTTAATGTTCTGATGCCTCGCCTCGATGTCGAGGGCAATGAAATGCCTGCTGTCATGGTGGTACAGCAGCAGCAGCAGCAGCAGCACGAATGAGCAGTAACTTTAGGCGGGCGAAAGCGACAGCTCCGAACAGTCGCCACAGCGACGTGTTAGCTAGACCTTCCAATGAAACTATGTTACAGTAGACGTAGCTGTTTGAATCTCTCTCAAGTAGATGTCGATGTTAAAGGAGTGATGTGGTGTCGAGAGCCAGCAGGAACAAGCGAAGGCGCTGTATGTAAAATGGGTGTGTGGGTCTGTTGGAGTGTATGTCAAGAAGGAATTGGCGAGATGTGCATGTGCGCATGTGTGTATGTGTGTATGTATGTGTGTATGTATGTATCTATGCGCGTCTTGTCAAAGTGGACAAAGAGTAGAAACAGGGCCTCCGCGTTTTCTGCGTGACTAAATCAATCTCATCCAAGAAGTGGAACGCTTCCCCGGTCTGTTCTCTTCCGTTCTGAACGATGATGATGATCCATAATAATAACTCCGCTGCCAACAGCGCTTATGCGGTTATGAGCCGGCATACGTAGGCAACTACAGCACCGCTATCTGCTGCTGCAACCTCGATGTTCCGGGTTCGCTGTGCGCCTCCTGTCACCTGTCACATCATATGCGCACGGACGCATGCAAACACATTAACGCGCAAACGCATGCGCGCAGCCACTACCTCGCCACTTACTTCCTGCAGCTCAGATCACCACACCGAACATTCGTATACGTCATATACACGCTCTCATATTTCCCCCCCACACACGCCCCACCCACTCACCTACCCCGCCACACCGCGGCCTCAACCACCGGTTAAGGTGCCGAGGTCAAGGACGCCGGCTTCGCCACCCACTTCATTCCCTCCGCCCGCCTACCCGACCTGGACCGAGGCGTCCTGGAGCTGGGCCCTCGAGCCGCTGACCTCTCCCTGGTGGACGCGCTGCTGCGCTCCCTGGAGCCACCGCCGTCAGCGGCGGCGGCGGTGGCGGCAGCGGCAGCGGCAGCGGCAGGCACCGACAACAACAACAACAACAACAGCAGCAGCAACAGCAGCGCTCTATTGGAGTGGAAGCTTCCGCTGATCAATGTCCACTTTGGCCGGCGCACCGTGGCGGAGGTGGTGGCGTCGTTAGAGGCGGCGGTGGCGGCGGCGGACCGGGGGCCGCCGGCGGCGGGAGGGTGCGGCGACGGGAGCGAGGCTGCGCGGGCGTTTCTGCGAGACACCTTGGCAGCTATGCGCAAGTAGGGGGAAGGAAGATGGGGGGGCACCAAGAGGAATTTGGCTGGCAGGGGGAGGGAACGGGCAAAGGGATGCTGGGGGGAGGCCGGGGAGGAGGTGGGGAAGCGGGGCAGGGCCGGGAGGGAGGCGGGATGCGGGCCACGGACACCGGCACAGGTGCGGGGCGAGGCTCAAACGTTGGAGAACGAACGAACGAACGAATGAACGAATGAACCTGCAGGATAGGGCACCAGGATTGCTTTTTTTGCTGTTTTCGCTCGTGCTGATGATACTTATATATTGATTTATCAACATGGCGATGGTAATGACGACGACGAGGCGGGGCATGGGTGGTTCCCCCTCACGTGTCCAGTTTCTGTTTTCGCCCTTTGTCTTATTGCCGTTACAGGGGCTCTCCGCTTTCCCACGCGGTGACGTGGGAGATGCTCCGCCGCAGCGCTGCCGGCCACATGACCCTGCAACAGTGCCTGGAGATGGAGTTCCTGCTGGCGAGGCGCTTCGTGGCCGGGGAGGCGGACTTCCTGGAGGGGGTGCGGGCGCTACTTATCGACAAAGACAACAAGCCCAGGTGGCGGTACGGCAGCGTTAAAGAGGTTCCGGAGCTGGTCGTACAGCGGCTATTTGAGCCGCTGGTTGATGAGCCGCCGCTGTTCAACGCCGACACGACCGCTGCTACTGCTGCTGCTGCTGCCGTCCCCGCCGCCGCCGCCGTTGCCACACCCACGTCACGCATGTGACAGCAGTAGTTCTGGCCACTATCATCGCGCGGTAGTGTCCTTATATGTGTGCCCAATCCTTAGCCACTCCGCTATTGTAAAACAGACCTAGACGCCGCGCTGTTATTGGGGTTTTCACGCCTCCATGTCACTGTCCCGGGGGTATTGGCGATATACGGGGAGTTGGCGACGGGCTATGGCTTACGTTTTTTCCTGTGGTGCTGCGTGTGGCTGAAACTAGCAGCTACCTTTTCGGCAGCCACTCGGCCTTATTGTCGAAGCAGCTTGCCAGATTGCTAGCGCCGTGTGTCGTGGTGGTGTCGTATAGCCCGGCCCGTGGCTTCCTTGAAGGGGAGAGGAGGAGTCCGCGCTGGAAACGGGTGGGCGAAGGGAGTCCATACGGCAGGGTAGGGGCCGCATGCGCGTGTGTGTGTCGGTGTGTGTGTCGGTGTGTGTGTCGGTGTGTGTGTGTATGTGTGTGTATGTGTGTGTGTCGGGGTGTGTGTGTGTGTCTCTTTGTGTGTGTGTATGTGTGTGTGTCGGTGTGTCAGTATGTCGGTATGTCGGTGTCGGTGTGCCAGAGCATTAGGCGGTAGTGGGTGTGACGGGGGGTAGTAATGATGGCCGCGTGGGGCGAGGCTGGTCCGTCGGTGCAGGAGCGCCTGGAGAGCTTGGTGACAAGAGGCGTGTTGGTACGCAGTTGCACATTGCGGCGCTGTATACGGACGGAGCCGACGGCAAGGCGGTTCGACAGGCTACAGCGCGGCTACAGCGCCTCCCCGTGCACAGCCACGCGCGATGGGCGTCCCTGCCTTAACCCATGACCTCCGGTTCCAGGTCTCGTCGTCTCCTTCTCCACAGGCCCATCTTAATCTTCAGGGCCATCTTCAGGACCGCGTGAGGTTCATAAGCACCAGTGCCTGCGTGCGCTGCCGTCCGCTCCGCTCATGGTCAGGATAACCCCCATGTCGCATACAGCGTGGGGTTAGTCAGTAGTGAGGAGTAGTTCGGCAGTGGCCGTTCGGCCAGAGGTCCAAGTAGACCGGTTGGCTTATCGGAAGGAACGACTGCTGCCAGACGGCACTTGACCCAATTATGGTACAGCCAAAGGTGTGTAAAGTCGAGTTACGAGCAGAATCCGTACGACATGGGCCGACTGGAAGGTCGAAGGTTTGGGAGCAGAGGCGGCGTGGCACAATGCCGCTAAGGAGCAGGTCAGGACTCGATCGATCTGACCAATCCCAGCGAGCGGAGCGGAGCGGACCCTCAACTGGCAGCGTCAACTTGAAAAAACTGTCGTGCTGAAAGCAGTTTTAGTAGGAGATAGGCTACTACACATACAGCGTTCTAGATGTTACAAACAAAACGTGGGAACAATTTATTGCAGAGACCCATGGTTCCTATACAGTCCGTCCGCCCCAAATCTAAGGCTACAATTCCGAGTGTTTTTGGCTTGTTGGAGTCATTTGCGCTTATCCAACCCAATCCTTGCCTCCTTTACATAAAGTTGCTCAGAATACAGTCGTTGGTGACACCACCATAAGTTGAAACTGTATGGGTTATCTACAAGCTTGGAGTACATGGGAATGCACGCAGAAGTAGTCTTATGGCATAAGGCAGGCAGCGGTTTATTGTCCTTGCTGGGTACACTGCAAGTTTCCCTCGCCTGGTACGGATACAGTTGCAGAAAAAAATGCACCCGCTCTTGGACCTTCTGTAACGAGAATTATGATTTGCGAGATAGTCAAGAAGCCAGCAATTGCGCCATGAATATTGGGCACTTCCTACCTTGCGTACCACTCTAGCGGCGGACTTAGTGCACCATGATGCAGACCGCCCGCGGATCATATCATAACTTAGTAGCCCTCGCGGATGGAGGGCCAACTCATGTGGCGCAACCTAGCCCGCTTTCAGGTGTAATTCATGGTCGTCCAACCCTCAGCAGCGTAGATAGCCACGATGGGCGAGCCACCAGGTTTGGATGCTGTAAAATGTATGCTTCGGATTGGCTGTGTAATGCCTGATGGCGGCCGAGTGGTTACGCAGGCTAATTATCGTGTCCAACCACCTGCCGCTGAGGGTGAAGCGCGGCGCAACTGGCTGGGAATTTGAATGGGATGAGGATGCTCTTGTTGGTCAGGCGAAGGTACGTGGAAGGCTGAGCACTATGCAGGTGCCGCCCGGCTTTCGTTATGGGGTCCCGTTTGCCACGCAGGAGGGAGTTCCCAAGGACCTCGAGGTGCTGTATGTGGGCTCACTTCCAGTCGATGTGGCCTTGGAGGAGCAGGATGTAAGTTTTATTGCAGGTTCTGTCAGCGGCTGCGTCAGCCGACCGGTTTGCATGGAACGCCACCTCTCGTTTGCTGCAGGCGGTTGCTGCACAACTTAAGCGTCTCTACAACTGTTGTCCGGTGTTTCTGGACAAGGACATCCGCGACAAGTTCTACAAGGGTGGGTACCTGCGTTGCAAGCGACGTTTGTGCGCAAGGGTTGCTAGGCCGGTTGCTTGCAGACTATCGCTGTCGCAACAATTTTGTGTTTAACCACAATTGTATGGGCGGAAGAAGCTTGCGGGAAGTTTGAAGGTACCCTTTGATGGTGCCTTCTGCAGGATGCTGCAAGCAGCAGCTGTGGCCACTTTTCCATTATGTGCTCCCTGTTTCCCCGGATAGCTCGGGGAGATTCGACCAGGAAATGTGGCAATCATATGTGAAGGCGAATAAGGTACGCATCAAGCATTTACCACCCACCACAGCTGGCGTGGTTGCACGTGGCATCGGCTTTTGTCATGTGTGCGGAGCAGTCCCCAACCAACGGCCCATCCCGGCAGGTATTTTGCGAGAAGGTTGTGGAGGAATCGGCAACGGATACGGATTATGTTTGGATCCACGATTATCATTTGCTGGTCTTGCCCAGCTTGTTGCGCAAGCGCTTCAACCGGATACGGTGCGGCCTGTTTCTGCACTCACCGTTTCCGTCATCGGAGATTTTCCGAACGTTCCCGAAGCGAGAGGAGCTGCTGCGGTCGCTACTGAATGCCGACGTCATCGGTGCGGAGAGAGTTTCGGGGAGGGGAACAAAGGCATGGGTTGGGGAGTTGAGGTTCGGATGTCGTGGTGACTCATGGCCCTGGCTAGGGTAGTGGGAGGTCCTGGGAGACGAACACCAGGTCGTTGCACAGCGATTGGAAAACTGGGATGGAGGGAACCTAGGGGGGAGGACAGTACTTGGGATGGGGGAGGGCGACAATGACTAGGGCGTGGCGAACGGCGCAGGGTGTAAACCGTTTGAAAGGTTATGTGGTAGTCAGGTTCGCCAGTTACAGGGCCATTAAGCTAGATTTAATGGGCGACGTGCGGGTGGTCCTCGGTGTCAGCGAGGCTCTTTGAAGCGGGCTGGCGCTACCGAGCGCAGCGGAAGTGAAAAACCCTTTTCCGTTCCTGGCCCTGTAGTGGCCCCCAGAACTTGGTTAGCTTTTTTTGTGCACCAGGTGATGGTATGGGAAGTGTCTCGAGTTGCACCGGTTCACCGGTCAAAGCTAACGTCCCAACGTCTCCAGTTTTACAGACCCGCATCCCTCTCCTCCCCGCCTTTTCCTGACCCCTGCCTCCCTTTTGCGCTGTTCCGGGGATGTGCTGCTGCTGCTGCTGCTGCTGCAGGTTTTCACACTTTTGACTATGCACGTCACTTTCTTTCTTGCTGCACGCGCATGCTCGGGCTAGAGCACGAAACGTCACGCGGGTCAATTACAATCGACTATTACGGCCGGACAGTGGGCATCAAGATTATGCCCACAGGTGAACTGAGCACGGAATATTATCTTTCTTTTTTGGTAATCATGCGGCCAGGAAATGACGATGCTCTGCATTGGTTGTACCCCTGCACCTGCGGCGAATCGCTGTTGCCCATGCCGTCGTGTTGACAGCGAGTCCAGACATGTTCCTAGGGGTCCGGGGACTGACAGTTCACAGTTCACTGCTGTTGGCGGTAGTTCTCGGGGTTGGAGTAGGCAACCCCGCACCAGCATGTGGCGGCGTCCATCTGGGCCACGCCTTGAAGCTTCATACATACATTGGTTTGGCACTACAGGGTTTGGCACTACTGGTAAGGCGCGACCATTGCCCCCGGGAGATCCCGGGATCGATACCCATTAGGGTCAAAAGTCCTTCCGATGGTGGAAGGCATTGCGCCCCTAGTTGATGGACGGTGGTGACCTGGGATAAAGTTAACCTGCGAGCCGACCAGGAATGGAGTTGGGCCGCTGTCGACCCGGCAGATTCCGTTGGATGCTGGTGGTGGGTGCGGAACCTGAGCGATCCACTGAGAAGTTGACTAGGGTGACTGGATGAGGGTGCCCCGAAATACTGGGGAAGGCAGGGTTTCGCAGGGTAGCTGCCACGGGCGAAGATACACCCCCCTGTTGGTCTGGATTGGTACCACAAGTCCTTTGGGGCTGGCGGATGGGGGTTTTGACGTGGGCGGAGTGTGACAGGGTGTGCATGCACAGGGCCGTCGCAGGGTGTGCATGCACAGGGCCAGACGCGAAGCCTGTTTCAATAGACAAGTGTCCCTCTGTCATAACGGGCAATTACTGTCCCTTGATTCTGTAGGTGTGAATCCCAGTCGGTATCTGGACGGGTTTTCTTGGGATGAATTCAAGTGGCGGCGCGGGGAGCTGCTTGCCCAGTACGCGGGTCTGACGGTGCTGGTAGGATGCGACGACCTGGACGTCTTCAAGGGCGTAGAGCTCAAGCTGTTGGCGTTGGAACGGCTGCTGGAGCAGCACTCGGAGTGGCGGGGGCAGCTGGTGCTGGTGCAGGTGGGGTCGTGAAGGGGGTGAATGCTTGCGAAGAGAAGGCAAACAACGGACAGTGACATGACCCGACAAAAATGCGAATGGGGGCGAGGTGTTCGTGCGGCGGTTCCTCTGAGCTAGAGGGAGAGCACCGGGCTCCACACCACCCGAGGGCGTAATTCTCACTTCACTGCCCGTGCTCCTGGGTTACCCCGTCGGTCAGGGAGTGGGAGGGGGGCTCTGGTAAAGCCCTGTAGGATGACTTTCTCGGGGTGGCTCGGGGCCAGGGCCAGGGTTTGGCGTAGTCGTGAGGATACTCTGGGCTGGAGGTGGCGAAGAGCGGCGCCGAGGGTGACTCTGGAGACCTCGCGCCATCTTACGGGTACTAGCTGGTGAAGCGTGAGCGCAGCACGCGGGCTGTGAGCTCTTGCCAACGCTACCACTTTTCTCTGATAGCCTCGCGTCCATGGGTACACTGCGCATTCTGCTTGCCCAGAGTCATATCATACAAAGAACACTAATCTGCAGAGAATACTTGAATCCTTACTTTCATCGCCCTGTTTGTCACTCTCCCCCGGCCACTGTGTGTCGCCGGTTTGTTTTTCCCAGATCACTAATCCGCCCCGTTCCACGGGGCGCGATATTACGGAGCTTCACCGCTGCGTCAACAACCTGGTGGATTCTATCAACCGGAAGTACGGCAAGGGGTCGTACCAGCCGGTACAGTACCTGGAGCGCCACGTGCCGCTGCACGAGCGCATGGCTTTTTACTCGGTTGCCGACTGCGCTGTGGTGACAGCTACACGCGACGGCATGAACCTGGTGCCGTACGAGTATGTGGTATGTCGTCAGGGCCCGGACGGTTGGGATGGCAGCGGCGGATCTGGCGGCCGTAGGGAGAGCATGCTGGTGGTGTCGGGTGAGGAGGGCAGGGCCGGGGGGGGGCCGCAGGGGGTAATGTGACGGCGGGAGTCATAGGTTGGGCCCTACACGGCGCTTTCAGTGCATTTATGAGGGGCAGGCAGGGAGGGAAGGAGGGATGCAGATTGATTTAAGATGGCGACGTGTATTTGGTCATAGGTCTTCCGCTTTCCTTGCGGCGACGTCGTTTTTCCTCGCCCCCAAACGAGACGCGGAAAACCGCGCACGTGTCCGCCCGCTGAGCTGTATATCCGTTGTTTCTTCATCGCAGAGTTTGTGGGCTGCTCCCCTTCGTTGAGTGGCGCAATCCGCGTCAACCCCTGGTCGGTGGAGTCGACCGCGGACGGCATCTATGCCGCCATCAAGCTGCCCCGTGAGCACCGTCAGCTCCGACACGAGAAGCACTGGCGCTACGTGAGCCAGCACACGGTGGCTTACTGGGCCACCAGCTTCGTGGCGGAGCTGCAGGTGCGGCGGCGGAGGCAGCGGCCAGATGCTGCTAGCACAATGCAGCTTTTCCAGAACTGGAGGACGCGGCTGAATAGGGGGGGGACGAGTCGTTGGGTGAAGGGGCTCGGTTGAATGCTGGCTGGATGGGCTTGGCGGTTAGGGGGAGAAGGCTTGGATGGGTGCGCAGGGCGTGGGTTGGGGGAAAGCCGGGGCGGGAGAAGACTTCATACATGACTGGCCACTGGTGCTTTGTTCACTGGTGGTACATACATCTCGTTGGGTCTGTGTTGCAGCGTGTGACCAAGAACCACGTGACCATGAAGTGCTACTATTTAGGCCTGGGGCTGGACACGTTCCGCATGGTGGCGCTGGACGCCAACTTCCGACGGCTGGATGACCGCCACGTGGCGTCCACATACGCGAGGTGGGCCTGGATGCCGGGGCCGGTGTGTGTGTATGCGCGTTTGTATGTGTAAGTGTGTGTAACCCTCGAAACTTGTATCGGGGAGCCACGAGTTCTATGCACGGGATGTGTATTTCACATGTGCGGGTCCGTAAGTCCAATAAGACGCGTGCAGCTAGTTCTTTTTAATAATTTTCACTATTAGTTATTTTTTAGTAACTAATAGTGCCATTGCCGCTGTTTCTCTCCACCAGGGGGTGGAGGATGAAAAGAGGATGACTCCTTCTGGCCCTCTTTCCGTCTCCGACTGTCTAGGGCTCAGCGCCCTCTAGCGTCCTGCCTTGACATCGCCCTGTCTTTCCTTTTGCACGTCCTGTGGCTATTTTCGTCATTTTGATCTTTCCTGTCGGTACATACACACCTGATCCCCATGCCTCCTCGCGACCGACCGACCGTCCATCCCTCCTTGCCTTTCCGCAGCTCCCGCTTCCGCGCGTTCTTCCTGGACTATGACGGCACGCTCACGAGCGGTTCCTCGTCGTCCCTGACGCTGGCGCCGTCGGAGCAGCTGCTGGCGGTGCTGCGGGCTCTGGCAGCGGACCCACGGAACCGCACCTTCCTCTTCAGCAGCAGCCCGAAGTCGGACCTAGCCACCTGGTTTGCATCCATTGTAAGCGAGAGTGCACTCCACACGGTGTATTGCAGTACGAGGACGAGTGTTTTGAAAAAGGGAGTCACGTGGGTGCCGAAGGAGAGCAGCAAACCACAAGTTGAAACTTAAATTCGGTGTCGTGACGACCTCCCCCTTGTAGTGTTTGGTGTTTGCATGTGCCCTCCCCCCTCGGTGCCATATGCCCATCCGGGGTACGGGCGTATGACTGCTCGCTACATGGGCCGCCCAAGCATGATGCTCTCTTGGCCATTATCTGCTTGCCCCACGTCCCTTCCACCAGCTCACCACAGCTTCCCCCCCCGCCCCCCCGCTCGCGCCAGTAATCAATTCTTCCTCCCGAGCACGCGCTGATGGCGGCCCGGTGCTTCAGGACTGACGACCCCTGTATATGCCCTATGTGCCGCTTTCCATCACGTCCCTCGTATTACCCTTTTGCGGCACCGTATCAGCCCAACCTGGGCCTGGTGGCCGAGAACGGCTTCTTCTACCGGGCCATTGGCAGCAGCAGCTGGGAGACTCTGGTGCCCCACGCGGACTTCAGCTGGAAGCGTATGGCTGAGCCCATTCTGAAGCAATACGTGGAGTCCACGGATGGCTCCAGCGTGGAGGCCAAGGAGAGCTCATTGGTGTGGCATTATCGGGACGCAGACCCGGACTTTGGCACCTGGCAGGTACGCGTATGCGTGGATCCGTGCCAGCATGCGGATCGATGTGTGCTTCTTCCCATGTGTGTTTAGTCTTACATTCATATCCCCCCCTTCTCTTCCCCGCCCTATCAGGCCAAGGAGCTGTTGGACCACTTGGAGGGAGTGCTCTCGAATAAGCCAATAGAGATTGTGGGTGGCCAGGGCTATGTGGAGATCAAGCCCCAGGGCGTCTCCAAGGGGCGCGCGCTGGAGCGGTTGCTGGCATCCGCGTGCTCCTCCCCGCCCGCGACGTCGGGCGGCTCTACGTCCATGTCGATATTCGGGCACCACCATCACCATGGGCTCCCGCCCACGGGCGCCTCCTCGCGTTCCGGAGGTGGTGATCTGGGCAGCAGCCCGTCGCGTGGCGGCAGCGGGCTGGCGTCGAATGGTCTGGACGGTCCGGACTTCATGCTGTGCATAGGGGATGACCGCAGCGACGAGGACATGTTCACATCCATTAAGACGTTGAAGTCCTCGCTCACCGGGACGGCTGAGGTAGGTGCCGCGTGCGCGGTGGTGTGCCACGCGCTCGCTGCCGCTGTCGCTGCCACTTTGGAACTCGCCGCTTCAAATATCCAGGGCAGCGGACCGTGCCAGCGGACAAGCTAGCGGGTTGCATGCGGTTTGCGGAGCACGGTGGCGACTGCAACGGGCCGTGAGTTTCCTCGCCCAGGCCCGGTCCATTATAAGCTTGCATGTAGGATTTCATCTCCCCCAAGGATCGTTAAAGTAATGATTGTTACTGTATCCTGTCCCCTTTTCACCGCTGTGCCACGTTTCACACGGCGCTGCCGTTTCGGGCCCCACACCCCGCCCAGGTGTTTGCCTGCACGGTGGGTCAGAAGCCAAGCCGGGCGCCCTTCTACCTCAACGACCCTGGGGAGGTGCTGCAGCTGCTAGCGCGGCTCGTGGAGGTGTCGCTCCCGCAGCACTCCGGGGCCGCCCGTTGATGGGTAGCATGAGCGGGCGGAGGGTCACTTGTCTGCTGCCGGTGCAGCAGCGCATCTGGGAGCTGGGTGGCTATCGGGGCCGATATGGCGCGTCGGGATGCGCCGCGTGGAATCGAAATCGACGGGAACTGCGGTAGTTGGGATGGGTGAAGGTCAAGTGTGAAGAAATCTGCTGTCTATCTGGACCTGGAAGGCCACCTGGTGTGCCATGCAGGATTTGAAAGTGTTGGCAGCAGGAGGAGGTTTTGAAAAGGTGTCTAATGGTGGGGGGGCACGCAGGCTTGGGAGCCGCGCGGACGCGTGAATCGCGGGGGCTTAATCGATGGCCATGCTCGCACAGCCGCACCGTGGTATATGCCTGCGCCTGACTAGGGTTTATTGGGCTTCCCCGCTACGCTGCGGCGAGTGCTAGTGTCTGTCTAGCGTGCGCTGATGCTTTAGCTGCATTGGAGAAGATGCATTAGCGGCAATGCAGTGGCCTAATCAACTCATCCGTGTTGCGGTTTTAGAGGCTCCATTGCGATGGAGAGTGTGGGGGTAAGGAGGGGGAACAGAGAAGAGGGTACACAGAAATGCACGAGCATGCCTCCTTGAGGTGTGTCTACGCGGCAGGAGCTGGACGTGGCTGGTGCAGATCATGAGTATTTGAGACACGCTGGGCTGCTATTGGAGTGGGAACGGAGTCGCAGCAGTGTCTTGCCGCCCGGTTGGCGGTCGGATGGCATTAGCAGTACACGTGGATTTGTTGCCGTTCATTTTGGTACGTGGCTGTGGGCGCATGTGGTCAGGCGAGGGAACGGAAATTTGAGATTCAATATACGCTTCCCGCCTCCCAGGCACACCCTACTTATTTTCGACGAGGACAGGAGCGTCCGCCGGGGGCGCAAATGATTACAGCTTTGCGCGCCGGCTAGCCGTGAGTGTGTGCGTGTGTCTCTGCGTGTGTGCCAGTGCTTCTAATACATGTATTTTGTCAACCCCGGCCGGAGTCGTCGCATCGGAGCGTTGCCAGGCTTTGACCTCCTGTATGCGGCTTCTACATCAATCACGTAGCGGTGTCGGGGAGCTGGCCGAGCCGAACCGCCGGGAAGAGCACCGGGGCCACCTACACGGCCGTGGCGTTTATGGGTTGCCGACTTCGAGGGCGGATCAAGGTTTTGACGCCATCATGATCATCATTCGATGAGAGGAGGTTTCCGCCAGGCACATTAGTCCCCTACGTCAGGGTTATATATTGCTCGGCTTCTAAGACTGCGCAGCAGCTTAGGCCGCATGAGAGTGTGTCCCCGGTGCTCTACGCTCTCAGGCGTCTGCACTCCCTTCGGGTTCTGCGCGCCGTAATACATCATATGGTAGTAATGGTGCGCACCGTGAAAAAACATCTTTCCGGGCAAAGAAGCTGCATGAAGTTGTGGGATGGCGGCTTGAAAATGTGGCACATGCACCACCGCCAATCAATCATACCACGCCAATCGATGACATCTTTAGTAGTGCTGGATGCCCCGGGTATACAATGTTTCGGTGATCACGATATCGAACGACACGGCGGTCTGCCTTTTTGTCGGGTGTTTAATATCGGATAACATGGAAAGCTTCATCACGCTCAGTTCTTGGGCAATGCGTGTACAACTGCGCCGCGATACGGTAGGCGTGTGGGTCTTGGCCTGCTAAAATTTTAAGCTTGTACACGTCGTATGGCCCGCGGCCCATTCGCCAGCTTCCGGTCTGCCGCGCACCAAAGCGCCTATCTATGTGTTTACCTTAGATAACGACAAGGTCACATTGAATCGAACATTGACCTGCAGATCCAACACTGTCCGCTGCCTGGGATGTCAGGCTGCACAACGTCCTGACTCGCATCTGAATCGTGATTTTTCGGGTAACAAGAGCGGGCAGCTAACGTCATCGCCAGTAGCTACGCGGACTGCCCCGGTCCCATAATCTACACGTACTGCACACACTCAAGTGCAGCGAGGGCTACAATTTGCACTGCTGCAAAGCGCCAGCCGCAAGCTACAGGCCTTTTCCTCACACATTGGTCGCATTCAGGTCGCACCCAGCCTCCGCCCATCGACGCGCTGTAACACACGCACGCAATGCAAGCGAGAACATTTCAACCACGACCCCCAAACTCCCCACATATTATGTTGTAGCGCGATAGCTACACAGTAATGATGCACTACACTACAACATATTATCCCAAACCACAGAGCCGGCCCAACGGCCCAAAGGCCCACCTGTACCCAAACCACCCAATAAATTACCGCACAATGCAAAAAACAACAACAAGCAGTAGTGGTACATCCGCCTGCTTCCGACAGCGCTCCCGAAGCGTACCGGCCTCACTCTCCTCTCCATATCCCATTTCACCCTTCCCGCCGTCCCCCTCCCCTTAGGGTCCCAGCCTAGTCCACAATGCGTCCCCGCGGCTCCCGCAGCAGCGCCAAATGGGCCATGTCCGCCACGGAGAGCCGCATGCTACGGCCGTGCAGCAGGGAGGGGTTGGCGATGATGAGGTCCACAATCTCGTCCTTGGGCGCCTTCAGGTCGTGGCAGATAATGCGCAAGCCGTACTGAAGCGCCTCCGCCTGACGCTGCGTATCGGTCAGCAGGCTGGGCTGGATGACGCACATCTGGCGGGCCTTCTCGTACGATACCTGTAAGGAAGGTGTGCGAGCAAGGCAATGGGACGACGTGCATGCGGCTGTGGACGGGGTGGACGCAGGGCAGATTTAATACATGGGAGAGGTGTGCCCCGTTGGCTCGGGTATGATGCTGTCCTGTGGCCGCTGCTGCTGCTGCTGCTGCAGCCTCGCCGCTGCTGCTGCTGCTGCAGCCTCGCCGCTGCTGCTGCTGCTGCTGCAGCCTCGCCGCTGCTGCTGCTGCAGCCTCGCCGCTGCTGCTGCTGCTGCTGCTGCAGCCTCGCCGCTGCAGCAGCGTGGCCGGGGTGGCGCCTGCAGCCTTTGCAACGTTCACAAAGGTTAGCGAGATAGCTTCGCACCCTCACACTTAGCACCAAAGTCACGTCTAGATGCGATGTACTCAATCCCTGCTACCCTTACCCGCAACTCACACCCCGCACAGCCCTGTCCCGCAGTACCAGGCGTTGTCCAGCCCTCCACCCATCCCCATTCCAGCCGCTATCGCACTTACGTCCACAATCTTCGCCACCTGCTCGATATGCTCTTTAATCTGCGCCGCGTCCAGCGCTAGCAAGCCCTTCTGGCGGAAGGCCATGTTCTTGATGGTGGCCAGAGGCTCACCCAGAGCACGACCAAGCTCCTCCAAGGCGTGTTGCTCTACGACACAATGAAAAACGTTGGTCGTGGAAACGTATTCGGATTACCTTGTGCGTTAATCTGGCTTAACTCAAATCCGGCGATTTGGGTCGACCGCGATTCGGGCAATTAACACCGCCAGTGTGTGCTCGACGCAAATCCAAATCACTGGCGCGACGCCAGCTTCGGACGCTTACAGATGATGTGTTGTTTTATGAAAGTAAGGGAGGAGCTGATACCTATAACACGTTCCCTTCCTCCCCCGTTTGTTCGACCGCGGGCCAGGGCAGCCCGGGGCCGCGTGGGTTGGTGCGGGGTGCGGATAATGCGTGAAACATCATGGAATGCGGCAGCACAGTACAGCTGTGCGTAAAAATGTGCTTTAGTCTGCGGCGGGTCGCCGTGGCTGTCGATGGTTTCAGCAGAGAGCACAACCGGATCCACGCTTGTGCTGGGGCGAAGGATGCAAGGGATGTGGCGCCAGGGCACAGTTCCGTTCCGCGTTGGGATGATACACAAGCCCAAGGAGCCTAGCCTGCCTTCGCCGCCTCCTGCAGCTGCCCTCCCACACGTCCACGGCTCGCCGTGAGATCAAAGGTGACTCACGCTCCCCACTCTCGAGTTCCCGGCTTGTGATGATGTTTGAGAGCTCCCGGATATCAACTGCGCTCCTCGTAGTGTTTCTTGGAAACGCTGCCCTCCGGGTGCGGAAGCCTGGAGACATTTCGCGGAAGTAAGCGGTAGGAGGACGGACTTCCGCGTCTCCGCAGCAATCCCCACATTCACATGCGTACCTGGGCAGCAAGAACGCGCCTTTGTTGATGTCGTCGTGCATACCTGCACAACAACACACTCTGGCTAACTTTGCGAATGACGAAAGTCACAAAGAACCCTAACGTTTAGCGTGCAACCTACCTGTCCCCTAGGATACAAAGAAACCTTTCCTAAGGATAAGTGGAGCGACACGAGCGGCATTGCGACGTCAAGCACGATCTTTAGCTAGGTGCCGGAAAGCTGCTTTTTGCAATCTCTGAAGCAAGAAAGCAATTAAATGTGTGTTATTAAATTTAATCCCAAGTATCGCGCATTCTGCCAAGTTCTTCGCAAGGCTGCTTAGGCTCCGAGACCCGTTCGGATGTGGTTCCGGGCGAACCCGACGGGTAGACGAAGGCCAAGGTAATAACCTGGGATTCCACGGTATTATTTGATTTAATTGGGGGGCTGCAAAGATGCGGCTCACGCAGCAAGCTTTCAGCGTGCGCCGGTCTGCGCCGAACAGGCAAGTCGTTTCTGGCTATCTCCCGCATACGTCTCACCTGCTACTGCAACCGCCAGAGCATGTGATGCACGGCGTATGCAGCGCTGCCTATACATAAAGATCTGCGTATAAACGCTTTGGAACCACGATACAAAGCCCAACCTTATCCGCAACACCATCGCTGTCCGTGACCTAGGGTCGCCATCGCCTGTCCGCGTATGGGTGCGGGTGGCTCTTCTCGCCGGGGGAAAGCAGCTGTAACAACTCCTGCAATGGCGGCCGTGGCGGTAGGTGGCGTCAAGCGGTCCTCGATCACTTTGGAAATTCACATTGCTTCGGGGAAGTGTTGATAACTCTCTGCGCAACCATGTGCAGGGCCTCAATGTAAAAGATTTGCCAACAAAACCTTATGAGGGCCAGAAGACGGGCACTTCTGGCTTGCGTAAGAAGACGAAGGAGTTCATGCAGGAGAACTACCTTGCGAACTGGGTCCAGTCCTTGTTCTGTGCTTTGGGTGATGAGATCAAGGGCCAGTCCTTGGGCCTGGGTGGTGATGGGCGGTACTTTGGCAAGGAAGCTGCACAGATAATTATCAAGTTGGCAGCAGGCAACGGCTTCAAGAAGGTCGTTGTTGGCCAAAACGCCTTGATGGCAACCCCAGCTGCTTCGGCATTAATCCGTCGACGGAAGCTCTACGGTAAGGATGGAAGCCCGTTTCGTGGCGCGCTTCCGGCGACATGCCGCGGGCTGTTGAGGTCCTCCGATCATTTCCCATATGCGTTGAATGCTTTGCGTCATGCCATCGCAACATAATTGGTTGAGTCCTGGCCTATCGCGGGCGCCTATTCCGAGCGTTTCGCATTTATATCGTTACTCTGGGCGCTGGTCAACGGGGGTTTCTCTTCCCCCGGATATCGCAGCGTTTCGTCGCCGAAGGTGTGCTGCTGCCATGTACCAATGTTCCAGCTCAGTAATCATGGAAGAAACCGGCAGCCTGGAAAGGCTTGCTTTGATAGCTGTCCCTCGAGGGCTGTCTCTTGCGGCCACAGCCCCGAAAATGCCCAAACGCCTGGGCCTTCGAAAGGGGTTTTTTGGCTCAGCTGCCTGTCTCCCGTGAGAGACTCGGAAGAGAGGACAGCAGTTCACGTGCTTGCTGCTGGGTCAGTTGCATTCTGGCCGGAAAATCTCGTTGCAGACGGAGGCGCCCCCCTTGTGTAAAGGGAGCGGAGCGGAGGCTTTTCTTTTTCGTGTCGCTGTCCCTATCGTATGGAAACGTCCGCTGCCTTACACAAGTGGGGACCTGACCCCTTCCTCACCCTCTGCAGGCCCCCGCCCCCACCCGCATGCTTCCGGAACCATGAATCGATGACGTTATCGCTTAGGACTCTCGCAGTATCGGATTTCGGACGCTGGCAGTCCAATCCCTGTTTCTTTGTATGTGATTTCACCCTGAATGCTTTCTGCACCCACATTGCACAGTTATGCCTTGTGTGGGGCGCCTGACTTGGGGAAGGGCCTCGTGGAGTCGCGTAATATCTGGGAGCTGGGCCCTAATACTGTTCTCCCGTTCTATCCCTCTTACTTTCCCCCACGATCGCTTTCGCCACGGCTCAGTGACGTCGCAGCTGCCCCCACCTCAGATCAGATCAGCTTCCTAACAAGCAATCTCATTCTCATGGCCTCCCGCCCTCTGCAATCTTCTTTCCTCGCTTTGCCCCACTCCTTAGCGCACGGCAACACTGCTTTTGGCAAAGTAGTTCAAGGAATGGAATTTATTGATATGATAAAAAACCCAACCCAACCCAACCCAACCCCCAACCTCCCAACCTCCCAACCCCCCCAACATCCCAACATTTTTGCCCCTCTGCTAATTGTTTAGCTAAATCTTCCTGCCCCCACCCCCACCCCGCGCGCGCACTTCGGCGCCTTCTTTCATCCCCTCTCGCTGCCTAACCAAACGGAAACCCAAATGGTAACCAATGAACTGGCGGCAGGTGGCCTCATCATGTCGGCCTCGCACAACCCCGGCGGTCCTGACAACGACTTCGGCATCAAGTTCAACTACACGGGTGGTGAGCCGGCTCCGGAGCGCATCACGGACAAGATCTACGGCGAGACCACCAAGGTCTCCGTACTGCATATGGCCGACATCCCGGACGTGGACCTGAGCAAGGTTTGTGTGTGTGTGGGGGGTGGTTTCAGCTTGTGATTGCGTTTATATATGTATGCATGCATGTACATGTGCGTGATGCCTCACGTGCACTCATGCGGGCTGCCCCTGGTTCACTGCACCATTGGGTGTGGGGCGCCATCCAACCCCTTAGCTCCACAGTAGTGCACTTACACACACGCCTTCATAAGATCATACATGTACACACCAGTAAACTCATCTTTGATTTCCTCCCCGACCGCAGCCCACAACCACCCTCATGCCCATTTCCCGCAGGTTGGCGTGACCAAGTTTGGCGACTTCGAGGTCGAGGTGGTCGACCCCGTGGAGGACTACCTCGCCACTCTGCAGAGCGTGTTTGACTTCCCCCTGCTTAAGAGCTTCCTGGCGAGGAGGGACTTCTCGCTGGTGTTCGATGCCATGCACGCGGTTACCGGGCCCTATGCCAAGCGCATCCTGGTGGAGGTGGGTACTAAGGTGGCCCGCGTGAGGGGGCTGGCGCGTGCGCGCGTTTATATGTGAATGTATGTAAGGGTGTCAGTGGCGGCTATGGGGGGATGGGGATGACGACCAAGCAAGAGAGGGCCTGTGTTTGTGGTGTGGCTTGAGACTAGGTAGGCCCAATGGAGATTCCCGGCTACCCGCTACCTGCGAGGATTCGTTTTACTGTTCGTGTCGTAGAGTCCTCTTCACGTCAATACGGAAATGCTGCCTCTCTCCCTGCGACCTCCTCCGCCTCTCCGCGCCTCCTTCCCTCTCAACCCTCAGGAGCTGGGCGCTCCGGCGTCCTGCGTGAAGGACGGTGTTCCCTCTCCGGACTTCAACGGCGGCCACCCCGACCCGAACCTCACCTACGCCGAGGAGCTGGTGCGTGGGGAGGGGTCTGTTAGCTGCTCCCGAATTGGCATGTATGGTGGTGGTGGTGATTATGGTGATGGTTGCAAGGTGGTGGCGGTGGTGTAGTGGCAGAAATGGTAGAAGTGTAAGTAACGGTGTGATCAGCACTTGTCTTATTTTGGACTATTCGTCGTCCATCCATATCATCCCCCCGGGCCCTTCGCCTTCCCCCGACAGCGGTGCTATCAACATCGATGATGCTATCTCCGTACCTCCCGTGCAGGTCAAGATCATGTGGGCGGACGAGTCTCCGGCCTTCGGGGCGGCCTCAGACGGTGACGGCGACCGTAACATGATCCTGGGTCACAAGTTCTTTGTTAACCCCTCGGACTCTGTGGCCATCATCGCCGCAAACGCCCAGTCCTGCATCCCCTACTTCAAGGGGGGCCTCAAGGTACTACCCGATAATGCTGGGTGCTGTCGGGGCACGAGCGACTGCGCGCGCGGCTGTGCGTGTGGTGTATGCATGTATGTATGTTTTAAACATGAGGAGGTCCGCTTATAACCAATGCCGGCATCGGTGCTTGTAGCCCCCCTGCACCCATTCCCTCGCCCCCTCCGTCCTCACACGCACCCCTACCACCGTAGTACTGTTGGCGCATCCTTGTTGCGCCCGTTCCGCCCGTTCCCCGTTTTCTCTTCTAACTGCTCTCGACTGGGCCCCCCCGTGATGTCGTCGCCCAGGGTGTCGCCCGCTCCATGCCCACCAGCGGGGCGCTGGACCGAGTGGCCGCGGACCTGGGGGTGCCCTTCTTCGAGACACCCACGGGCTGGAAGTTCTTTGGCAACCTCATGGATGCGGGTAAGAGGAGGAGGTTTGTGTGTGTTTGCGATTGCAAACGCATGTATGTATGTTGTTACAGGGTGGTCAACTTCGCCAGCGGCCCCCTTTCCCGGGGCAGTCCCTGCTCTCCCCTGCTAGAGGGGCACCCTAATCCGTCACCCCATCCGACTTCAGAATGTATTCGTTGGGTTCGGCAACTCACCACCAGCATCCAACCAAATCTAGCGGATCAACGGCGCATCAACTTAGTTCCTGGTCAGCTCGCAAGTTGATATTATCACGTCCTACACCGTCCATAAGATGGGGGGCCACCTCCCATTTCATCACTCCTCAAACACCCGAGGAGCCGGCAGGCGGATTTGAACCCGGGTCGACTGGGTCGACTGGGAGCAGAAGTCAGGCCTTAACCTCTGCCAGCCGCCTGCATGTATATACGTATGCGTATGTATGTATGTACGTGAGTAGAGGATTTCTGAGAAAACCCGAACCCGGCAGAGACCGCACGAAGCCATAGTTGGACTTTGGTTGGACCTCCTAGAGCGCGGACCCTGGATTTTGGCGCTCGGGTTATCACTGGCGCTGTGACGTGATGAGCCCAGGGATCGGGGCTGGTGGCCCCCGTCCACTGCCAGCCGGGAGAACAAGGTGGTCCTCGTCCTCCTCCTCTTCCTCGCCCCTTCCACCAAAAGCAGTTACAGTCCTAGGTAGCATTTACACGGTCCTGCTGTTCGTCCTCTTCGCGCGTAGCCCCCACTCGTAACCCGTCCTCCGCGCCACACTCTCTAATCTGCTGTGCGCCTGTTCCCTCATCCCACGCGTCCCTCTCTGCCGGCCCCCTGCCGCACGCCCTCTGTCCGCATACAGGCAAGTGCTCGGTGTGCGGCGAGGAGTCGTTCGGCACGGGTGGTGACCACATCCGCGAGAAGGACGGCATCTTCGCGGTGCTGTCCTGGTTATCCATCGTGGCCGCCAAGAACAAGGACGTGCCGGAGGGCGGACAGCTGGTCACGGTGCAGGACGTGGCGGTTGCGCACTGGAAGAAGTACGGCAGGAACTTCTTCAGGTATAACTTCCCGTCCTGGCTTTCCATTACAACGACCAACCACCTCCACGTCCTCAGCTACAATCTACATGCGCCAAAAACAGTTCATTATCTTCAGGGATGCAGTCGCGCTCTCTCTTTCTCTCCCTTTCGATGTTTTTCTGTGTTCTGGTCGGGAACCGTTTCTGTATAGAGTTTCTGCGGGGGCGTATATTTTTATCCTTGCCTACATTCCTCTGGGCCCCCCCCACACACAACCCGTTTTCATACCCCTTCCTTTAACTTCCCTTCCCCCTTGCTCCTGTCCTCCCCCACTACAGCCGCTACGACTACGAAGAGTGCGCCTCCGCTGACGCCAACAAGATGGTGGACCACCTGCGCTCTGTCATCGCCGCCGCCAAGCCGGGTGACAAGTTTGGCGACTTCACGCTGGCGACCGCTGACGACTTCGAGTACACGGACCCCATTGACGGCTCTAAGGCGTCCAAGCAGGGCCTCCGCTTTATCTTCACTGGTGAGGGCTGGGCGAAGGATGGGCGGGGGATTGAGGTCTGGGCGAGGGGCTAGCTGGCGGCGGGGTGCGTGGGTGGTGGATGGTCCAATAGTGGCAGGGTGGGGGTCCCCTCCGCCAGGTAGCTAGGGCGGTGGCCCCGCGGTGTACGCCCTCGCGTGTACGGCTAATCTCCTGTTCCCTAGCTCTTCAGTCTGTTTTCCCAAGACCCCCTCCCTGCGTCGTCGTGTTGCGATGCTGACAACCCGGCGGCCTCTACGAAACACAAATAAACCGCACTGTACTGCAGATGGCTCCCGCATTATTTTCCGGCTGTCGGGTACGGGCTCGTCCGGCGCCACTATTCGTCTATACATCGAGCAGTATACCTCGGACCCCGCAAAGCTGATGTTGGATGCGCAGGAGGCTCTGGGTCCCATTATCAAGGTGTGTGGCTGTGTGCGTGTGCGTACATGGAGGGGGGGCTTTGTTTTGAGAGCTGGAGAGGCAGGGGGAGAGAAGAAGGGAGGGGGTGTTGTAAAGGGCAGAAGTAGGATTGGGAGCTGGGGATTAAACGAGCCGGGGGTTGTTCGCCGCCTGATGAAAGGAGAAGAGGGGTTGCCTGGGAAAGATGAAAGTTCCGTTCCTGCTTCTCTGGCTGGCGCCATGCTGCTGCCGCTGTCGCTGCTGCTGCCTCCCACGGTGCTAAGCTGTCTGCCATTCCTTCGCAACAACCAATTTTCAGGTGGCTCTGGAGGTATCCAAGCTGCAGGAGTTCACCGGCCGTAGCAGCCCCACCGTCATCACGTAAAGCGGCGGCGGAGCGGCCGACTCCTCTCCTTTGGGAGGGAGGGAAACGGGGAAAGGGAGAGGAGTGGGGCGGAAATTGCCTATTGCATTGTGATGGGGAGGGGAGGATGTATCCGAGCACGCAGGCGGGTTCAGCAGCGTTTCAGCAGCTTCACTATGAGGATTGCTTCTGAGTAGACACCCAACGCCTCCTGGAGTTTGCAAGTATGGATGTTGACGATGGCGATGATGAAGTGGAGGCGGGTGGAGGAGGAAGGGTGACGATCTTGTTGCAGCTGGCGCAACTGCAGCAATAGTTGCCATAACCATAATGTGGTCTGGTATAGCGCCTAGGCTCAATTTTGCACGGTTGGTTGAATCGAAATGGTAGAGACTTCGGCACGTTGCTAAAACGGGCAGTTGCTGGCAGATGTGAACCACGCGCGTGTGTATTACGTAGCATGTATGACGTGACTCATTAGCCAGGCCCTCTTGAGGTATCTGATGAGCAGCGGCCTCGCGGGAAAGGGAAGGGGGAAGGGACTTGTCGCGGAACATGTCTTCCGTACTATATCCAACCGCCGTCGTTTTCCAATGCTTTGTCGCTCTGAATAAGAGCGGGAGCGATGATGTTACGTTTTGTTGTCTTTTTGCTCAACGCATGGAGAAGCTCCGGCAAAAGAGATTGAAGGATAGTGTATCGTTATTGAGCTTGGAAAGCCAGTAGTGCCGAACAGTTTCGAAATCTCAGTTCGAGGAACCAGGGTTGTGACCATGAGTCAATCTTGACTGGGAGGCAATACCATTTATAGGGCTGTGTATAACGGTATCCTCGGCCATTCCCTCCTTAAGATTGATCGTTAAACGTGAATTACACAAGTAGATAAAAGTAAAGGTATTAGGTGGCATGCAATTCCTCGCGTCCGCTCAGGCGAACATTGTACACACAAGATCGCGGAGTGACTGAGGTCGCAAACTCGACTTCATGACATGACTAAACAGGCCATTAAGTCCACAGCCTCCATTCATAATAAGAAAACATGCACTTACGCACTTGCAAAGACACCCATAATGTAAAACAACCATAATTAGCTGGACTGAGCTCTGTGTACTAACATCATAGTCGTACTTGAAAACTACCGCAAATCCGTATATCAGTTTTAAGGCATAATGCTTATAACATGTTCTTTTTGGTGTTCGGTGATCCAGTAGGCGACCTGCATTTCCTCCGCACACTCGCAGCACACAGGACAATGGCCATCGTCTCCGCCTCCCTCCATGAATATGCCGCGGCGGTATATTCCGTTTATTAGTCTGCCGGTGGGACGCGACGTGTCAGAGGACTAAACAACAGCTAAACCCCCTCACGAGAGACGATCACGTTCCCGAAACGTCTGTCGTATACAACTTGAGCCATGGAAATTTAGCTGTACAGCCGTACACGTTCATTCTCAACTACAGTTATGAGACGATCATCAGCAACCTTCTTTTACCGTACTGCATGCCAGCGCCTGGCATCACAAAATCGTCATCAGCGCCTCCTTTTTCCCCCGCCCGGTACCAAACAGCTTCATTCGAGGCAAGATCAATGCAGGAGGAGTTCTCTTGGAGGGACAGTCAGCACCGAAAACCAACCTCTAACCGACAACTCCTCAATTCCCGCAACTGCGTTGTCGTACCGAACGACACGACGTCCCGTTTATTCTATATCAGAACAACAAACCCACCTCATCTTGCGTCAATGGCAGGAAGAAAGGCCCCGACAGAACACATCTTCCAGCAGCCGTAGCAATGCAAGATTCGCAATCATACGAAGAAAACTCATACCGCGTCCCCTCTTCCCCGGCATGTGCTTGTTTCCGCGAGCCAGTGATAACCCGCTTGTACGGCGGGCCATCCACGCGACCATGCCCTATAACAGATAATTTTTATATCCGGGTTCAATGGATTGTACGGCAAGCCGACGTGTGCGACGGCGTCGCCTCGACAGCCACGCAGCGCATCTTGTTGTCCAGGTGCGGAGCCCGCTCCCCCCCCTCCCGCTATACCCCTGGAGCTGCGGAAACGGCAGCCCCCCCCCCTTCCACGACCACCACATTACAACACATCACGACGACCTCCCCGGACAGACACAGCGTCGTTATTTTCACTTCGACACGTTTGAAGGCGCAGTGCAAAGGGCACAAACACACATGCTCTTTACGTGCGTCCGCACGTCACGTACATACATACATGTGCAGGCCGCAAGCATGAAGCACATTAAAACACGCATCCATAGGCTGAAGCTTCCATCCCCCCACACACCATCAGGGAGTCATTTATCCAGGCTTTAATAACTAAGGCCAAGCACTGAAGCATAAGGCTCGTGTCGTACTTGCGCCCTCATTTTATTGGGCCCTTCAAAGCTCGAGCTCGTCGTACAAGGTGTAGATGGATGGGGCAGGCTGCAAGGCGCATTCCCACACCTCAACACAAAAAAAACAAGCGGCACAAGCCACGATTAGTGATGTGTTTGGCATCCAGCCATTTCCCCTGCCTTATCCCCGCCACGTGCAGGGTCAGCAGAGCTAAATTATTTTCATGTATGTACGGCAGGAAAGCACACACAAAGGTGCAGGATTAAGAAGCGCATGCCGTACTCCGTACACCTGAGACTTATGAAAGGCAGCGCGCACTCCAGATGTTTATTGATATCATCATTTTTATAGTCATCGTTCTTAAACGGTAATGTGGTAAGTGTTCGTCGCTTCTCACACCCCCCCGATGTGACGAAACTCTCCTCAGTCACTTCACTACTCTGGCACCTGCACACATACACTTAGATACAGACAGACATACAGACTTACATAGACTTACACACACGCACCTGACAAGGAAAGCAAGCCATTGGAGGTGAGGGGCAGAATTTGAAGCACCACGACGTTCGCGCCGGGGAGTCGCCGCCGCTCAAAGCCTACGGGTGGACCAGGGGGGAACCCGCCCCACCCCTCCAATTTTCCCCCACCCCCACCCCTAATTTCCTCCCCCACCACCACACACATCGCACACCCAACCGCCCGCGCCCAAAGACTCTATCCAAAGTAATTTCCGCCAAAGAAAAAGCTGCACATCATCATCATCATCATCATCATCATCATCATCATCATCATCATCATCATCATCATCAGCAGCAGCAGCAGCAGCAAATCCCCCCCCGAGGCGGTCCAGCATGTACCCGGGGATCAAATCTGGACTCCTTTGCCGCCGCCCAAAACCACACACATCGAAGACACCATTAGGACTATGTCGGCGGCGGCGGAGGACGGGGCAACACGCTGCTACCCTCCCTCCCTCCTCCATGTGGTCGGGAAGAATGCCGAGTGCCCAATCGCCGTCAGGACCGGAGATCGAGTCCCATCGCCCCCTTTACGGGAGTCCCCATCTCCCCCCCTCCGACACCACCATCAATAATAACAGCACCCAAGTGGTGTGCCGCGATGGCCACGATGATCCCGTCGCCCTTCGCATCCACCATAGCAACACGCGCCCATTCCCGAGAGACACACACGCGTATCCTGAGAACACACACCCACACACACGCACGCACACACACACACACACTCCACACACGCACGCACGCGCGCGCGGGCATCCCCTCCCCTCCTTTCTTCATTATCGCACCAGCCGCCTACACGAGGTATCCAATCCCCACACGGCGACAAAACAAGAGGCCTTAAACGACAACACAGGGACGACCGGCTGCTGCTATACTCTCCGATGCCTTATAATGCCGCACTGCCGTACCATCGTACTGTCGTACCATCGTACTTTTAGGCCTGCACGCCTGGTGTTGTCCCCTGGCCTCCCATATCCCCGTCGGGCCGGGGTTGCGCGAGCATGGCCAGAGAGATGGCTTCCTGGAACTTAATGACCGCGTGTGCAGGGACCACCAACAGCGTCTTCATATTGCCCGAGACCTCCTTGATCTTGAGGTAACGCCCGCGGTCGTTCATTCGGGCGTCGAAGAAGAAGTGCTTGGAGCCGACCGACAGCACCGGGCCGCCCTCCTTGCTGACATCCAGGGTGACGCTGTCTGGCTTGGACGAAAGTGCCAGACCCGAAGACATCTCGACACCCTGTACGTTTTTTTAAATTAAAAAAATTTAAGTTTTTAATTTTTAAAAAATTTGATATTAAGTATAAAAAATGTATTTAATCCTAATTTTGTGTTCCATACATAGAATGTTTTGTGTGTAATTAATTTTCTTGTGCATAGAGTTGTGTGTTTTGGGTTGTTTGGGCGGCGGCGGTGCCGGGGCTGAGGAGCGAGGAACAAGGGGAGGGAGAGGAGTACTAGACCTTGCCGCTCCCCCCGCCACGCCACCACATACAGGCGATTCCAAAGGAAAGGCAACGGACAAAGTCACCTCCGCCTCTGCCCCCATCCACCCCATCCAATACACTTCCCCGCAAGCGCTTGAGACTACCTGGACGCCCAAGTCCCTCCCACCCGCCCTGGAGCCTTCCCCGCCCCCCGCCCCGCCCCGCCGCCGCTTTTCAACCCCCAAACCCAAATGAAAGATGAATGTACCGCACAACCAATCAACCAAACTGACCAACTAACCAGTCAACCAACCAGTGCAGCTACCGTACATTTCCGCAGCCAAACAATCGCCTGACCAACAACCACCTAACCGCCTAACACGCACCGGCAAACCAGCTTGGCTGAGCCAGTTGGCGATCTTCTCGAAGCTCTCCCGAAAGGCGCGGATGTTGGCGTTTGCCCACCCCGCGGGTACCATGAGACTGGAGCCCCCTGCGAATTTAAGGACGGGAATTTAAGGACGGGGTTGAGAAGGGGTTGGGGAATATCGGTTGCCGTGAGGTGGATATGCCTCACGGCGCGACACACACCATTCACACACCAGCCCCACTCTGCTGTACACCTACACCTACACCTACCTGCAGGATAGCCGCCGCCGCTTTCAAAGATGCGAAGGTACCTGCCCCGGTCGTTCTCCCCACAGCTGAAGTTGAAGACCTTGGACTCCACCACAACATCCCGGGCCTGGGGACCGGACCTGCAGGGGGAGGGGTGAAGGGAGGGGAAAGACGAACCACACACGATTGAAGCTGCTGCCAGGGCAAGAGTGTATCAAAACGGGAGCGGAGGGGCGGGGTGGCGGGGCCGGTGGGGAGGAAAAAAAGGGGGCGAAGGGGTTAGGAGAGGAGAGAGGTGAGGGGGGAAAATGGGGAAGAGCCGGAGGACAAGCGAGGGTAGCTATAGGGTGGGGGTGGGGGTGGAGCCCAGAAGAACAATACACAACAATAGACACGTCGGTGCGTCCCCTAGCTCATTTCCCCTTCCCCCTTTCTCTCGCCCTCCTCCACACCCCACACCCCCTCCCATACCCCCCACACCCGCCCCCCTCCGGGGGCCCCCGGGTTATTGCGCACCCGTCGGTCTTCAGATAGTACTCAAAGAGCTGCATGAAGCTGTGCAGACCGGACAGCGGCACCACCACGCTGCTCTTTGGCCGGTACTTGCCTGAGGGCAGGGGAGGGGAAGGGGAGGGGAAGGGCAGGGGAAGGGAGGAAAGATCGGTGGGAAAAGGCTATAGGCGCATATATGTGTGTGAGAGTTTGAATGGGAAAAGGAAGTCGTAACTTAGGGTTTGAATCATCACACATCTGCACGATACAAAGCACAGCCAGCGGCTGCTGCAGCAGCTGTAGCAGTAGCTAGCTCAAGCAGCAGCAGCAGCTGGCCAAGCAGTAGGCCAGCACTAAGGGATTCAAGGATAGGAATGAGGGCGGGTGGCGGGTGCGGGGCGATAGATGGGTTGCGAAGGTACGACGACCGTTACAAACTGAAGCTGAGGGGTACGGCAAGGGGGTTACATGACTGAGAAGGCCCGCATCCCCCGGAGTGGGAACGGGAGGTGAGGGATGGGAGTTTCGCTGGAAGACTTGCGGTCGCAAGGTAGGAGTCCTAATTTGGCACAGCAGGCTTTCCAGGGTAAGCCGTCCGTCCCCCGTCCCCCCGATCGAAACCGAATGGCATCTGTACCAACGGCAACACTGTTATGATTCCGAACAAGGGAGAGACCCACGAGACCATTCACTGCGGCAAGGTGTGACATGCTCCCTCCCCTTTCCCCCCAACCCTGGGTGGTGTCGCTTGCCTCCCCGCCGACAGCTTCAAATAAGGATCCATCGGTGTCTTCCTCTTCACCCGCTTTCCAAATTACCACCCTCCCCCCCTCCGACTATATCCAGGCGAGGGAGAGGCGTCACATAGCACCAGTGTCCCGGCATTGCTGGCGCCAATACGGCACGCCCCAAGCCCGTACGACACAGTAGGCTCCGGGGTTGCGCAGCAGAGAAGGGGCGGCAGTAGCAATGCGCGGGAAGAGGTACCGTCGCAGTCGCAACTACAGCCGCCGCTACTGCCGCCGCAGCAACCGGTTTGTGATAACATCGTGCAAAGCTTTCCAAGAGAGATTTCAGGGGATCGAATCGCGCAAAGACACTCTTTCCAGGAGACGAGACGCGGCAAGTTGGGCGTGAGCTGAGCAAGGTTTGTGACAGGTTCATATATGACCTCATGATGTAGAGGTTCGCGAGGGACGGTGGGTTCTGGGGCAGGATGCTGTAGGAGCTGGAAAAGCGTGTTTGGTAATAGGAATCGAAAGTAAAGCAGGCACGGCTACACGCGCAATTGAGAGACAGAGACCGTGTGGCTGGACATCGTATGTAAGATTTCAATATATCTGCCTGATTAGGGCTGGTAGAGAACGCAACATACCCGTCGGTATGCGAATGGCATCATCGCCAATTGCTTATAGAAACATTCCGGAACTCACCCTTCTCAGCAATCTTAATGTATCTCCCTCGACCATTTTGTTTAAGATCCAGGTAAAAAATCTTGTTTTGCACCTGCATCGCGCCACGATTAAGTTGGTCGACCCGTCGCGAACAAAACATTATTGCAAAGTGGGCATATAGGACAGGTGATCAGTTGGTAATCACCATCATCCGTCCCGTGTCTTAACTAGTCATAGCAAATGGAGAGTTAATCCAGTGTTCCCGGACCTGTCCGGAAACCTGTCGAACCTCTGCTTAGACACATGCGCTCATGATTGTTATCCTAATGAGCAAATGCATTAACTTCGTGTATCACGCGGCATTTGCGATCAGAACTGGTCCAGACCCCAGCAGTCGGCGCGAAAGTACAATCTGCAGGGACACCGGATATCCCGTTCGCTGAGCTGCGCGGCCTCACCTTCAGGACCTCAGAGAACAGTTCCTGGTCGCCCACAAGAGTTGGCTGCCCGTGCAATGCTGCCGGCGGGGGAAGAGGTGGACGAAGCATGTCTGTAGCCTAACAAGCGTTATGTCAAAAGATAATAGAACTGAAGTGCCGCCTGAAATTTATGCCAGTGACCAAGATTATGTACTAAAATTCACTTCATTTCATGTGCTTGGGCTTGGTATGTTATCTGAGAGCAGTACATGTAACGACGGGGACGTACACTGCCGAACAGTATTAGATTTGGGGCACTGTAACCCGCTTGCAAGCTGCGTACAGAGAAGTACATGTTCACAGTGGAGGAAGTTGAAATTACGTGCTTTTTGCAGTACACTTCTTCCCCGATTGCACCTGGGGAAGGCCACAGACAGCAAATGCGTGCTTGAAGTACAAGTCCTCCGCATGCATGATTTGCATAATGAAATGAATAAATAAGCCGTGAGGCCGCTACAAAGCATTTGGCCCCTTGTATGGACTTGGCAGTGGCATTTTGTACTGCTAGACCCTAACTCCTACAACGATGCAGATGTGTAATAGAAGAGTAGATCGGCTTATTGTCTTATTATGTTGACCAACTCGTACGCGAGTTTCCCGTTTGACAGCTCCCCAACCGAACATTTGTCGTCACGGCTTTGCGACATATTGTACTGTTATACACTTTACAGGTTTCGGACTGGTTACAGCTCTTTCCTTGTCTCTGGGTAGGGATGGACGGGTCTGTATTAAGCACCTCCGCGTTATGGCGTTCCTGTGGCAGAGCGTGATGAATTAGGCTGCCCTCACAAAACCTCTTTCAAGGCTTTCCGCATCGACGAACCGACGAGCGCGCCCGCACCTACCGCGCATTTTGGTCGTAGTCAGCTTAACCTTGGAGCCTTTAGAGGATCAGCCCAACATGCTGTTTTTTTCCTATCGAGATAGCCACATACAGCCATTTTAGCGACTATGAGCCTCGGATGGAACCCCCGCGCTGCCGGACACTACTGCTGTCCGGAAAGACTCGAAGGCAGTCAGGTATTACATGTACTGGTTGGTTGGACACCTTTCTTGCGTCCAGGGTGCCTTGTTGCCGCGCACGACATGTTTTCGACACTTCCAACGACTGTCGTTATCATTATTCCACCAATGGCAGAGACGCAGCGATGCCGTTGTGCTGGAAGCTACCTTACCCTGTCTTACCAGCAACTACCTATCATTAACCAGCAACTACCTATCAAAAACCAGCAACTACCTTCCTGCCCTACCCACCTTACTTTTCCTACCTACCGGCGTACTTGCCTACCTGCTAACCAGCTCAGAAAGCACATGATGGGGGCAATACGGTGGATACTGACCAGAGGTCGGCAAACCCTGAATAACTGTCACGGGTACTGGTGCCAGGGTCGAATAACTGTATGGGAATTTTTTTGGTAAAAGCCAAGGAAAGAGTGTCTGCGGGCCGATGTACCAAACTTACTACGTTACACCATCGCTGTTAAAGATAAAACCCTAATGATGAAGTTTATAGCTTCAAAACTGCGCAAACCTGCCTTTTGGGGGGGATTTCTGCACCCTGCCGTACGGCTGCCGTACCCGTGATGAAGAATAGAGTTGAACTTCTGCAGCGGATACAACGGAAGGACCCGCTGTGGTACCAGCGGCGTTTGCCGACCTCTGTATTACTGACTGAACCCCCGGTGAGATATTTGACCCAAGCATGATGCGGCGGCGCCGCTGACTGTTCGGAAAAACTGAACCTCGGTGCGAACCAATCAATTGCAATTGGCGAACCGAGCTGGGACGAAGACTGTGCGGCCGACTTGGGGGCCGACAAAGCAGGCTCATGATCCTGACGACTGGTGCTTTCCGAAACCCTCCGAGTGCATTTCTGTATGTATTCTGCGTGACCTGTTTGTCAGGTTTGTATGCAGGCAGCCTATTGCAGAGCGAGGGATAGGAAGGGAGGCCCGGAGCAGCACCCGCGGGTCGCCCCCCACCTGCTGCCCCTCCGCCACCGTGGTTGCCACCGGAGGAAGAAGCGCGGGTCAGTCACCACGGCCTCAGCACCAGCGCGCAGTCAGAAGTCCTAGCCAGCTGACCAGAGGGCACCCGTGGTCTGGGCTTTCGTTGGCAAGGATAGGGACTGCAGGGTTATCGGGCCACAGCTCTATTACCCCCACCTTCCCAACGATCAATGCCGCACCGATCGTGCCACTTGTGCATGTTTAGGAGGATCTACGCGGTACGGTAGGCTACGGTACGGTACGGTACGGTTGAATAATTACCCGAACTTGAAGGTTGAGAGCCCTTCAATCCGTTAAAACACTCAAAGAACAGTTAGCGAGGGAATATCTTTGGTGTGCGCCATGACTTGTTTACATTACTAACGTGTAAGGCAAGGTAAGTCCGCGAAAGCGGACTACGACAGGTCGGGGCCTGGCGTGTCTATACGGCCGTTTGTGTAAGAACCGGCTACAAGCTGCTGTTGAGCTATCTGGGAGGGCGGAACAGCGTTCGTTCTGTTGAAGCAGTTTCAGCTGAAGTCTGCTGCTTGTCGGAGCGGTCGATACGCATTCCTGTAGCTTTTGGTTTGCCCATGCCTTTACAAAGCGTCTGGAAAACTTAATGTGGTGCATGTACCGCTTTTTATTATTGTTTTTGATTTGCATATCCTGGTCGGTAGCCAACGGTACCCTAGGCATGTTGCCAGGCATGTTTGCTTGTGTCAGGAAACTGCCAAGCATGTATGCTTATTTCTAGCTCATGGAGTAAGGATGTATACCCAGCATGTAGCATTAGTCAACCCAGTGCGAGGCAGCTGCGAAGGAGTGAGGGCCGTTTGAAAATAGATGCACCGGTCAGTGATAGGGGATAAACACATAGATATCGTTTCATTTCAGCTATGATAGGCAATGTGATTTGCTGCTAGAAGAACAGATTCCTAGGGCAACTTCCGAAGGGCGGGTTTCAGTTGATGCCACAGTTGATGCCACAGTTGATGTCACATGCGTAAGGCTTACACCCCAATGTGGCACTCAATGCTTCTTGCTGGGAATTTCTTCAATTCAAGATTATAAAGGTTCCTTTAGGAGTTTTATGGGAAGCACATCGCACCCTTCTGGAGGTCAAATGAACGACCTAGGCATGCAGTCGTCTTGCCTATTTTTTGCTTTGCGAAAGATATATTAAATTACCACATTTTGTGCTGCAAAATAAATTGTCGGTCATAGTCCTTCATTCCTTTCAAATGCACGCGTAAATTATCCAAGCCCGTAGCTATAGTGTCTATGGCATCACCACCGGCAATGAACTCCTAATTATCAGGCTGTGAAGTCAAGAAGAGCGGAAGCGAGGCCCCATGCCACGTGGCGAACTCAGCGCCAGCCAAATCTCACAGATCAGAGCTTATATATTGGCCAAGTCGCCCGATGCATCCGTGGCAAGAGAGGTGCGGGTTGCCGGGCCGCGCACAAAAGCGCCTTCATGGCCTTCACGGCATGCCGCCCTCACGCAGGATCACAACCCCAGGCACCGGGCTCCCCTTACCCCCGCCCTTCGGAACTCCTCCCCTCCTTTCGAGCCTTCCAGGGCCTTACGGGCCATGCATCTCTCAATCCTCTGACACGCAGCATCACACACGAACCCGATCTGCAGTCTTCCCCCCCTACACAGCCAGTCCGGTTCGTCCCCTTGCGTGTTTTTCGTGAACATGTTTCCCCCTCTGTTTGCTCTCCCATTTATCCCTCCTCCCTCCCTCTCGATCCCATTTCATCCCCAACCAGCAACTCCCCAAACCCAACCGCAACCTCAACCAACTCCGTTTCCCCCCTCTGCAGTTATGGGCCTCCGGGTCTTCTGGAACCTACTCCGCGTATCGCGAGTATCTGCAGCAGCGCAAAGCGGCGGCAGTAGCAGCAGCAACCGCGGAGGCAGCAGCAGGTGCGGTAGCTCATGGCAGGGAAGGCCTTGGCGGCAGTAGCAGCAGCAATAGCAGAAACAGCAGGGTGCAGCAAACCCCCGGCGGCGGTGGCGGTTTTCCTCCCCCCGGGGTTTTGGCAGCCAACGCGCAACCCCTCCCCGCCACCGTCAAGTATTCGTTTGAAGGTGGGGCGGAATGTTGGGCTTGGGGGGGAAGGGGGAAGGGGAATAGGGGGAAAAGGTGTGTGGGTGTGGGTGTCTGTGTGTCTGTGGGTATGCGGCATCCGTGTGCCTGGTGACTTGAGATTGAGGTTGAGGTGTATTAAGATCGCCCGTATTCTGGCTCGTCGGCGTGTGGTTTTGTGTTTTTGTGGGCGTATGCGGAGGGGGGGTTGCGGAGCTCCTACCTCCCCGCCCCGCCGCCGACACCTCCCCCCTCTTTCCCCCTCTTTCCCCATTCACCTCCCGCCATTTTCCCCCCACCAGGAGTCAAACATGTACTGGCCGAGGCCACCTCCCCCGTCACCTCCATGGCGTTCGCCCCCCTTCGGAACGACCTCTTGACGTTTGGATGTGCGGATGGGGAGATCTGGCTGGTCTGCCTGCCACCGACATCCGCACCCACATCCGCACAGCCATCATGTGCAAAGGTGCGCCGTACACAGTAATGTAATGTCGTACATAACATGTACATTGTACTGCAATGTGGCGGTGATAACGTTTGGCCGCTGAAATCGGTGTGATACATACCGTACACACGCTTGCGTGTGGACTGTTTTGGTTTGGGGGTGAGGGGTGCAGGTTCGAGAACGGCGTGAAAACGTAGGGTGCTGCGTTTTGTGTGTGTATGTATGCATGTACGTATGCATGTATGTATGTATGTATTATGTATGTTGTGCGTTTGTGTGATATTATCCAAAAACGCGGTGTGGGTTTGGAGGGGTTCATCGGGTGGGTGGGCATCACCGGGTCCCTCTGCCCCGCTGTCAGCCTTCAGCAACAGACGAACCAACGAACGAACGCATTGGGGGTAACCACAGCACAGCACCTTTGTTTGTTTCCCCCTCTCCCCTCCCTTGACGACGACGGGACCCCGACGGGGGTTTCCATTGCAGTGTCAAAAGCTCTCGCCTGAGGGGTGTTTAGGCGGTCGTCCCCTCTCCCCTCCCCCGCTACCCTTCGTCTTTCCCCCCTTTTAGAAGTCATGACTGTCTTCGCCAACCTTTCTTGTAAAGGACCTCCCCCCCCCCACCACCAAACCTGTTTGCGTCATTTCCATAATT